GCTCTAATCTTGGACAAACGTACTACTGCTTTTCACTCACTAAAATACTTGCTATTGACAGAGAGAAGGCTCAAATCTTGGACAAACCTGCTACTGCTTTTCACTTGCTAAAACAATTGATATTGAGAGAGAGAGAGAGAGAGAAGACTCTAATCTTGGACAAACCTACTACTGCTTTTCATTTACCATAATACTTGCTATTGAGAGAGAGAGAGAGAGAGAGAGAGAGAGAGAGAGAGAGGAAGGAAGGAAGGCATGCATGTACAGATACCAATGGTTGGCATCTCCAACTTAATCAAGAAGATGTCAGAAGGCCAGGTGACAGCTGCTGATATCCATGGGAAACAAGGCGAGGAAGACAACACGACCACATCTCAGAGAATATACGTGTATCATGCACGCATCAGAGAAGCTCCTCCTCCATGACAGAAGCTGAAGCTTGGAATCTAGTGGTGGGTATATGAGAGAAGGCCTGAAACATCTTATCATGTCATTCTCTTTTGTTCTTTTGGTAGGATTGGATCAGTGTGTGGTATGTGTGCTCTCATGTGGGAGGCCACATGCTTGCTGACAGCCAAAAAGCATTGAGAAAGCAAAGGACATGAAGCTTTTCTTTCTGCCATGCTGTGTCTGTGTGGGTGTACATCAATTCAAATAAACTCATAAAATTCACCTATAATATCTATAATATATATGCATATATATATAAAGAAAATGCATGATCATGTAACTGTGATATCTCAGCAGTAGTGCATGGGGATTGGGGATTAGACAATTCAGAGGCCTGCAAAAACCCTCTTCCAATGCCCTTCAAGTTTAGAACACTTGGTGGGTTGTTTGAATGCAAGTTTTGGCCTTTTAAAAGCTTATCATCATCCCAATTTCAAACTGCTAAAGGTAAATGCTCAACCCTTACATAGCCTTTTTCCTCTGCTTAAAACATAATAACTGAGGCCAACTTTGGTTAGTTAATTCATCTGATTAGATTATATTAATCATAGAAACATGATTATTATTTTAATGATGATCTTACACATATTTAGTGTCTGTCTACCTTACAGTTGGATTTAGAAAACACCATGAATTTTTTTATAAAAGAAATTTTAATTAATCAAATCGAGACCATCGAGGCCTCCCAAAAATACAAAAGTTATCATCATCTTGTGAGGATTATAACAAGTTCTTGCTTCACTTGAAAGAAAGCAGGTAGCAATATTAAGTTATTTGTTGATGTAATTAGTTATTCCTTACCTCCGGACCAAATCGGTTATTGGGTAATAAAAAAAATGTAAATATATATCAGATTGGTTTCTAATTTAAATTAAAAACAATTAAATTAATTGTTTTTTTTGTAATTTATTAAATGTAAATATATGTCAGATTGGTTACTAATTCTTTTTTTATATATATATATTTTTTTTTCACTCATACACATGAATATTTTTAACAGCTTCTCTATTTATGTTCATGGAAAGCTAATCTTCTGACATTAAAGATAAGAATCATTGTAGTGTGGGAAGAATAATTCAAAAGTCTGGTAGGCTTTAATCAATCATGGAAAAGAAATAATGGAGAAGCTTTTTATTCATCATAAAACTTTCAATCTCTTTATATTATACATCTCTCAACCTCTCTTGATTTCACTTAACTATTATATATATAATCTAAAAGGTCTCTTAACTTACAAAGCCTCATATAATTTTCCATATGTAGCCAGTAGTTGATATTCTTACATTTAATGTATTGGATATTTACATAGTTGACTTAGTCAACTTTGGCCTGTGTTGGTGTCTTGGAAATATACAATATATAGTAGGGTGTTTTAGAAAATAATTATAGTGGTTATATAGATTATTTTAATTAGTGAAGTTAAAGCATGAAAAAAAGATAATTATATATATAATATATATTATATAGCCAATCTCTAGAATTGTGTGCATGATCTTTCAGGTCTAAAGTGCTAAAACATTGGCAGTACCCATGCACGCATTCATGCATGTAGAGGGTACGTAGCTCAGGGAGACATGTAAGGGTGGTACAATAGCCAGCAGCATCTTCTGCTGGTCTGCAAACAGTGAGGTTTCATGGGAATGGGAGACACCGGCCGGAAGCATAACTTTTGGCAATAATGAGGCATGATGGTGACCCGGCTAGCTGTGGGTTTATTACCATGGAAATGGAGTCAGGGGCATCAGAAGCCAGTCCTCGGTTGGTGGACTTCATGGAATCCAAAATGGCAAGGTAAGAGGAAGCATGTAGGAGAGGAGGGGAAAGAGAACCCATCACAGGCCATGACAAGAAGCCAAGCAGGTCAAGTCCCATCACTGAACACCTCATGGCCATGGAGATTGGGTGCCACTGTGCTCCTTGGCTTCTGGTGGCCCTTTAGCCAGATGCTCTCTGCAGCCATGGAGATTGAATGGATCCTAAAACCCATGCAGCTTTTTAATCATCAGTTGTTGGTTACCCACAGAATGAGGAGGAGGAGGAAAAGGATGTTTGCTTTTGATCTCTGATCTTTGATCTTCTTACTTTCTGGGCAATGAGGATAAAGCTTAAAGCTTAGTCAAAAGGATTGTGCGCAGTAATACTAACACTTTTGTGTCTGAGAGAGGTGCAGCCAATCAATTGCTCTCTTTGAAGTTGGTGTTCTTCTATTTGATTGAGGAAAGGAGTTGCTCACTGAAAGGATCTAATGCCTCACCAACTCTCTTTTTATTGTTTCAATTGATTGGCATAGAAATTGCTAAGAGTGCCTTTTTAAGAACTATGTTTTAATTGTTTTCAATAAACTATCTATTTTCAAGAAAAAAATTTCTCTCTCTCTCTCTCTAATTTTCTTTCAGCTTTTAATTTCTCAGTCCAGTGCAATTTTTTCTTCTAATTTGGTGCTCTTTGACTGATGACCAGCATCAAAGTTCATTAATGATCCACAGATCCACCAAGTCTTTCTTATATCTACCAAATATAGTATGCTGATTAATTAAAAAGGGCATGCATGTAGAACTCTTCATTTCAGTATATCATTGGCATGCAGAACTCTTCATTCTTTTCCATGTATTTTTGTTTAGGAAAGATTAACACCATCCAAATGACAACAAATTGTTCCTATTCTCCCATTTAATAAATTGAATAAGTTGCTAATTTAAAGCAGCAAATGCCTTATCAAGATCAAAGGTTAATTGTTTTGAAGTACTCCTATTGTCCCAAAATTGTTCCATCCAATTGGCAAAGAATAATAAAGCTCTCTCTCTCTCTCTCTCTCTCTCTCTCTCTCTCTCTCTCTCTCTCTCTCTCTTGATAATTGATATGTATCTACGTATAAAGCTCTCTCTTTATATGTATCTATGTATATAATTGATATCATTCTTTAGTAGTGTGACAACCCATATAGTAACATTATATTATATTGCTTGTAAAGGTTGTCTTTATACAGTAAATTCAAAACACAACATTTTCTATGACTTGAAGCTAAAAGTGCATCCATGTAAACTATGTATGCCTTCTCCTTATAGCTGCTAATAGATAGAAGGAAGGAATTGGAGTTGTGGCCATACACTACTAAGATGGAGTCCTTTAGTTAAAGGAGAGACCACCAATCTACCTATACATTTTTTCTCTTTCTAAAGATAAGCGGTGAAGAGGATGTTTGATTGCAAGATCTTATGCTGATCCCATAATATTTTACCCTCTAAGATAGCCGATACCTTCATATAATATATTGGATAAGGTATTAAATCCTCATGATAAGCGGTTTGGATACATCATCATCATATTAATATTTTGGATGTATTTATCTCTACCTTATTCCTGTAAAATCCTATTATCTATTCATATATCCAACTTTACTAACAGATGGAAAGAAAGTTAGACATGAAATGGTAGAGAATGTAGCAATGAGTTGGATGATGAAGACCACCCCTTGCACTACCAGCTCAAGAACAAGAATGCATGCGTGTAGACACCTTCTTATCAAGGTTAAGCACACCAGAAGAAATTAATATGTCCTCATTTGGTGTCATGAATGAACGGCATGGTCGACCTCCATCTCCATCGAGATTCCCTAGGGTTTGCTAAAACTTGCATCAGCATGGCTGTAGAGTTCCTCCGGGAAGCACGCAAGTGATGTTTCTTCCAACAAGCTAAGCAATCTACAAGAAATATTCTCAAATGTGAAGTAGAAGGACCGAGACATGGATGACAAGGACATGGCATCAGTGGGCGTGTCATAAATATTCTGCATGCATGAATCCAAGTAACAGCTGAAGGCATTGCTGCCTTCTGTTTCCACCACCCGGCCACAAAGATGAAGCCATCTTCATCAACGTTGGAAGAGGCAGACAAGTTGGAAAAGGAGGGAGAGGGGTTTGGGTGGCCATTGGAGTGTAGTCATCGGTGGGGGATGCAAAACATGGGTTGTGGGTTGCAGATGTACTGCGTCTGCCACTGGGGAACGAAAAGATGGAGACAAGTCGCGCAAGATTCACTGGTTAATTTGCTCGCTGCCTGACAGGGATTGCTGCGTGCTGAAGGCAAAGCCATGCACGGATTCACATGCATCATTCCTTCTCCTTCGTGGAGATATCCTCTTCGTCTCTCTCTTCTGAGCTCCCACATGCATGCGCCCTATTTGGAAGATACTTGTGCCACCATTGATGACCACGTTATGCTTGGTTGCTCACATCAAACTGCTCTCTCTCTCTATCTCTCTCTATCTCTCTCTCTCAATAAGCATTGGAAATGGGTGTCCAATTAAGATTTAATATTCTTTTAAAAATATTATATCATTATATATTATATTAGAAATATAAATTATATTGTACTATACTAAATACATAATGTAGTGAAAAGGATGATTGGGAGAAAGAAAGTAAATATAATTGAAGAGTAGTTTAGAGAGCAATAAATATATCATAATAATAAAATTATAAATACCAATTATTTTGAGTAAACTATATGGATCTTTTATTTTGTCATTATTGAGATTTATAAAAAAAATCATATGCTTAATTATGCTAAGAGTATTTCAATATTTAGTTATAACTTTTATTAAAATATTTTTAGATCTCAATCTACTTATCCTCTCATACAATTAATAGTAATCATTTTACTTATTCTAATCTCATTAGCATATATCTATATCATTTTAAATAATTTTCTCTCATTTTATGCTCTAACACATAATTATTCACAAATAAAAATATTTTATCCATCTCAATATTCTTATATTAACAATATAAACTTTTCATATATATTACGTTGCAATTACTCAACACTCATATCCATAAATCTTTCCTTTTAATCTCAAATATACTCGATAATCACATAAAATTTCTGAAGCTACTCGTTATCTTATTGAATAACTGATCCAAAATACCTAAAGATCCGGAATTTATTGCTTATCCAATTTAACTATATTGTCGTATCTATTCATACTAATAAATACGATATAATTTTATTCTATTTGATTCTTACATTGATAAAAGTTAAATGTCTTTATGATAAATTCAAACATATTCATTAATAATAATAATAAAATTGATTGTTTTAACTTTTTATAGCTAAAATAGCATAATTTCATTTTTATCACTATGATTTGTATTAGAGAATTCCCTATATTGATAATACTTAAATACACTTAATATCTCTATTAATAAATAAGACTCAAATGGCTTAATTAGTGAATTGAACCGGTTTCGGATCGGGTTCCCGATCTATTTGGTTCGATCAACCAATCCGATTCGGTGATTTTGTAACTATAATTTGTATTAAAGGATTCATTGAGCAATTCTTAGTGGTTGGGATAGAACTCTTCAGATAACTCATTCTTGTGTGTTTGAAATCATCACTTAACAACGTGGTAAGCTCTGTAAGTAAGTATACACTATTTCAGAAATTTATACTAATGATAAACAATTGCAAGATAAGTTCCCTTTAGTGTTCTTTAAACAATTCTGAGTAATTATAATAGTGGTCACCATTATAATTTAAGATATGCATATACAACTTTTTTGAATATATATATATATATATATATATATATATATATGTAAATATTTATTTTTGATTTAGTTTTAGATTAAGACTTAGTTTATAAGAGCTTGATGGATATACGATTATTAATTTGGATATATTTTAGATCATTACTTTATGATTAATAAAGTTAATGATCTATTTATTCTATTAATCAGATCACGATAGGTTTGATGAGTATATTATTATTAATTTAGATTAAAATATCTTAAAGTTAATAATTATCCTATATACATATATAATATATTTATACTTATATAATAAGTCACAATTGTCACAAGGTAATCTCACAGACTCTTTTTCTCTCTCTCTCTCTCTCCCTCCCTCCTTAAGTTCGTGCCGAAGCCCTCAATCTCCTTCTTTGCCTTCTGAGCTGGGAAGAAGAGTGGGATCAGGTAATGCATGTCTCCCTGGAAGCATCTCATGTGTAACTCTTTGGATTCCTCTCATCCTCTTCCATTGACTGCTCTAATCCGTACTTCTTTATGCATATCAATCCACCACCATTATCGTCATGGAAGGATTCTAAAGGTTGATGTCTCTGCGATCGTGTACATGACACGATGGCCCCAGGGCTGAGTCTCCTCCGGCCGCCATCACGCTGCGGAAGCTACTTCGATGACAGTCAACCTGAACACGAGCAAGCATCGGCCCTGATGGTCGACAAGCCCAACAAGGAGGCGGAGGAGGAGGAAGACGACAAGATCAGGAGGGAAGCAGAAGCCATGGCCACCTCAAAAGTCGACCGCGGCAACAAGTACGAAGGTTGGCTGCAGCTAGGCATCGGAGGTGGCTGTCGCCCGAACGGTTCCCATTCACAGCACCCCTCGACGATGGACCCGTCGAGTAGCAACAGTAAGGCGAAGGGTGATCTGGTGGAGCTCGACTTGTTCTGCCGTCGACCGGCGCTGGAGCCACCTCCATCGCCACTTACTGCGTTTCCTGCCATGGCGCCATGGTTCCCTGCGGTCATGGGAGGGTACTGCCACCAGCTGACGCCGTCGGGCTGCACTTGGATGCGATCCTCGAATCCAAGTCTGAGCTCAGGGGAAATGAGGGTGGTAAGCCTCCCACGAAGGAAGCAGACGGGGGTGTGGTTCGTTCTCCAAGCAGCACATGACCAGTGAGCAGGAGGGAGTTATTAGTAGCATGCATTCTTCTTCTTCTTCTTCTTCTTGTAGTGCACTTCCATGCAATTAGATGAGAAACACATGCATAGCTTCAATGATCTATTGCTCTTTGTTGCAGGGTGAAGGAGCCATTTTTGCCTCAGATACCAAAGAGCTACTTGAGGATCAAGTACTCAATGTTTCTCCTCTCATAAAGCTGTCTTCTCTCACTTTCTTCTTCATGTTCTATCTACACTTAACTCATCATATCTCTCCTGTTAAAGAAAGGGTGCTCTTTGTAGGGATGGAAGGATGACAATTAGACTGCTGATGAAGTACTTGGCCAATAAGCTTGTTTTGGAGGATGAATCACAGGTGTTCTTCCTACAAACATTTTATATGCTTTAGTTTACATGCATATTGTTCATATAGATTGTCTTTAGTTTCCTTGTCACTATCGTTAGACACATACACACACACACGTATATGTGTACAATGATAGTGACAAGGAAACTATAATGATATGGTTTGGTAATTAAGTTACGAAGGAACATGAAAACCAAAATACAACTTAGATATGGAGTTTAATATATGTCGATGAGATCTTATTTTCAAACTCTCAATTGGATGTGATTTGGAATGTAAATGAAAGATAAAAGAGTGTGGATTATTGTGCCTATGAGGAATTAAACACTTGATAAAGATTAAATAAATAGCTAATATAAAAAAAAACATTGTATGTAATTTGAGTTTTGGACCTTTCGATGGAGATCTAATAATTCAAGATTGGCGTTGTAAGCAAAGTCATAATAGCAAAATCAAGTTAGAAGCCCTAAAACCCTCCATGTTTGCAATTGTTGTCTCTCTTCTCCATTCTTGGGAAGTCCTCGTTCGTTTTATAGCATTGACTTCTTTGTTCATGTCTTTTCTTCCCTTCTTTTTCTTAATGTATATTTTTTTTAATATGATTCACCAACATGGATGAATAATGAGAGTTTAAGACGATTCAAGAACAAATGCTCGAAAGAGTAGCATTTCAGAGAAGATAGAAATCAAAGAATATAAGGGATAAAAGGAATTATCATTAGACGAATTCCCTAGAAAAACTCTTAAAATCGCATATTTCCGACATAGCATCCCTCATTTATTTATTTTTTTCATTAAGGTACTCTAACCTTTTTCAAAACCAAGTTTTCCTCTAATTTTTTTTTTCTGTCTTTTTGTTTGATTTAATATAGATATCAAGATCCGTGTGATTAAATATATATATATATATATATATATATATATATATATATATATATATATATAATTTGGTGAGAGAAAATATAAAAATGATAGAAAAGTTTTTTACAAATAAATTATTTTTTAATTATAAGTTTTAA